ACATATAATATACATATATTATATATATATATATATATAGATATAGATATAGATGTAAGTCTTTGTATCGACGTGATGCGCAGTATCATCTCGAAATATGTACTGGTGCTTTTTATTGTGGTACCCTATGTGGCGCAGATTGAGGACGCTATCCGAACCCTGGTGGCTAATAAAGGACTGAAGAAATAATCATCTTCGTGTGTCACACAGGCTTGCTAAATCGTATCGAGCAGACAATCCAACTTTACAAAAATATGCGTACTCTATATGGTGTGTCATTTTAGTTTGTGGGAAATAGCTTGTGTGTAAACGTACCAAGTAAACAGCGGTATGAGGTGTGCATTTCACTACTCGTCACAATCCTGTTTAATGATTTGATCCTGCACCTTGCATTTTTGACTATGTCTTTCGCCAGTATAATTCCCTATGCACTTGTTTGTTTTGTTCTAGATTGTGCGATTATATACGTTGCGTCTGTTTCAATTGTCAATTGATTCCCTTTTTCTATTAGGAAGACGCCTACGGTAAATTAAAGACCTACCATGAATTTGTAAAGAAGGAGTGTCCGAAAGAGTTCCCGTACGAAACCTTGAAAGATGTAAGTAGACCTATGAAGTTGTGAGCATTCTACAGTTAGCTACAACTTGTTGTCTGATGTATGTATGAGTTCATTTTATCCTTCACAATCTCAGTCGGCTTCGGCAACATAAGTGAGTCAGCGTGGCATATGTACCCGATTAAGTTGGGCCTGAGTGGTTGATTGTGTAAAAACTCTCTTACATACGACACGTGTCTCCGTAATTGTACTTACGTTGCAGCATGTGCACGAAACACCCTACATCACTCTCGAATACCGGCATCCCAACTATATAATTCGTGAGTTATTGCTTGCTTCGAGTTGATTGTATTTGTACTCAGTGATTCAACGTCAACGCGCATCGAAACTGCGTTGTCACGATCGACGACCTGTAAAATTGATTTACCACATATTTGAGAGGCATTCTTCTGTTTTGCACAGGAGAACTCTGTGAACATGTACTACACATTTCATTCCCCGCACTGTTTCGATCAACAAATTATGCTTTGCCACTACAGGAATTGGCCACAGGCAAGGTGTATCTATTGCAACCTGATCTAGAGGGAAATCAATGTATACTTGTTATGGCCAAGGAGCATCGAGCGGGGCAATTCCCGCGAAAGCAAACGATGCAACTCACGTCGAGTCTGTTCTTATCACTCATTGCGGCGATGGACAATCCTATTCTAAATAATGGCGACAGAGTTACTGTAATTGTGGATTTGAAGGGCTTCGGATTTAGTAATAAGGACGATGGTATGTTCACGGTAGTACTGTTGTGGTTAATATTCTCCATGATCGTTCAGCGCATTCGACCAAAATGCATCAGCAACTTGGTGGAAATGGCTAGTATTTTGACATTCGGTTCATAACGGGGTACAAATTCATTCTTGTTCTTGCGTGGTTGCCGCCCGAGTAATGCATGCATTCACAATGGTGACCAGTTCGTTGATTTGATGTACTGGTATAGTCATGCAAGATAAAGATAACATGTGAGGATTCAAATTTTGCATGGCCTCATGTTAACAGTTGAGGCGCTTCACTTTTTTAGGTATCTTAAAAGACGCTGGCGCGATAGTGAGCAAATATTTCCCCAATCGCATCCGCCGTATGGTGATATTGAACGCTGGATTTATTGTGAACACTATGTGGATGGCCATTAGGCCATTGATTCCTTCCAGGTATGTGTGTGCACTCTAGATATGGCTCAAGTAAACTACCGCTGGCACTTAGTTTTACAGGCTGTTGCAATGTCCTTAGTGTGTGCTAGTGCCCAAATCAGACTATGTTCAATATTGGATAGTGAGGTACAGAAAAGGAAAATGCCCGAGTCTATCGACATTTTAGTAAGGCGCTAGGCAGTCTGCTCTATTGGGATGGTAAATTTACTCCTTTACAAGTCATTGATATTGCGCAGGTATCTTGATCTCATACAGTTCCTCCGCCAACCGAAAGACCTGACCAAAATTTGTCCCAAAAATGACCTCCCGATCACATATGGTGGCATAATCGTACCAAACTGGGAACAATGGCTCGATGGCACAAATAATGGTATGCACTTACATCGAAGAATCCATTAATGTGAGTGCTCTGCCAGTTTACGTTTGTAGTTCTTCATTCACTCGCAAGCCCATAGAACTACGCACTCATTTACTGACTGCCCGTCGAAATAGTATAGGATCTGCTATACCATCGTCGTGCATCGTTCGCCAATTCATATCAGAACCTTCGTGCGATTCGCTAATTGGTCAATTTGTTACTTGTAATCCCAGCCTTAAGAACCAGTCCTGTGCTGAATATACACAAGTTCTGCAGGAGAGCACAAGGCGAGATAATCCCCGAAAGCGAATTGGACAGGTACGAGATCGCGGCTTATACTGACGCTGAATTTGTACCAGAAGGGTTTGCTTTAGACTAGAAACCAGACGAACCTATTTAAAAAAGAGTCCATTGAAGGATGTCGGCACAATCAACACCTATGCTCTAGTTCGAATGTCGGTAGCTACAGAAAGGAGAATAAATTCCGTCTGTGTCGACGAGAATTGAACCGAATACACTGAAAGCGAATCCCAACTTAGAAATGCTAGTGATTTTGATTCAATACTGGGATTATGAAGCAAATCAGCTTTTCGTCAGCCTTCAAATGAGTTTTTAGTCCATGGATATTCGGCTTCAAACTGTCATCGACATATAAATTTCAAGTGCGCATTATTGCGTCTCGCATATTAAATTTATTTACATTATTAATTTTTGAATTCAGGTCTCGGTTATCAAATAAATTGGTTATGTAGTGTGATGTCCGACGCGTACAGAATTTACTTTACGAGAGTAAATATTCGCCGTACAGCAAAACCGCACATTCAGTACATATGAAATTGCTGGTATCTGTCGAGAACGCCCCTATCTACTCTCCTTTAGCCACGTTGTCGGTCATTGAGGCTTAGTATATGTAAAAGCATTATTCTCAATTCTGCTTCGAATCGTACTAAAGCCTGCAATCCTTAAGCGGAAGAGTCGGTCCGTTCGCTACCAATGCTCGACGAAGGAAATATCTCTGCTCTACTAGTGCTCGACGTGGGACAGAACTGCTGTCTACTACTAATGCTCGATGTCCGTTCTCTACTATTACTGCTCGATATGGGACAAATCTACTCTCTACTTCTGCTTGAAACGGGACGATCTGTCGGGGCTGTGTAGCAGATTGCTTGTGGTCCCGTAATGGCGAAAGTCGTCGGTAAAGGACCAGAGCCAGTTGTGAGACTGATATTCTGTCCAGTTGCAGTGCCGCCCACTCGGCACCAGTCGTACTCGAATATTTGCCGCGAGTCTAATTCATCTTCCAGCTTAAGGCCAGTCACAGTTACCAGTGCGACTAGTCCGAACAATTCGATGGCCATTATAGAGATGTATCCAAAGGTGAGAAATGCGGGTACCAATACAAATGAGGCCTTCATCTCAGCCTTGAACGTAATCATGTTGAAACTGGGTGATAGTAGGTAAAAGTCACATACATGTATCGTTGCTATGACTATCACTGCTAGCGCCCCTACTCGCAGATTACTTCGTACGTCATTGAAGCTTAGATTTACGTTGCGAGTGCGATATGTGTAATACATGAGAGAACAGAGCAAAGCTATACACCATCCATCGGTGAAAAGCGCAGCCCACCGCCCTGCAACATGGTTTTGATTTCTTGTTACAATCAAGTATGGGATGAGCATCAAAGCTGACGTGACAACCAGTATGACGAAGGTTATCTCATATATCCACTTGCGAATCGAAGCTCGATATGGACTGTCTATGAACACTTCACACAGAAATTTTTGCCGCGCCACAAGCGAGCTCAGCAGGGTTGCGTCCAGAAAGGCTTTAGCGGCGTGTAGCGGCATGTCGAAGCCTCGCTTAAAATTCAACACGTCAAGTATAGCTAAAACGTACAAATAAAGTACTACAGTGAAGCCCACACATGCAAACAAGACTACCGACACATGCACTTTCATGCGACTCTTTGGCAAAGGTTTTTTTGATCCTGTACAAGCAATACCCCAGCGTGAGGAGCACCTCAAAGCAGGCGATCAGAAGCCCCAATAAGGTGCCATAGATCGTCCAATTCTTCTCTTCTGGTAATGAGGTGTTTTTCTCGGCAACTAAGAATATCAGCCCAAATAACCCTCCATTCAAAATGAGATTCAGTAGAAAGGACCAGTCGGAAATGTGATTCCATTGCTTGCCTGTCATAGTCCGCGTATTGTAGACCTCCTTTATCGTAAACACTATTCCAACGCTACTGGATGCCCGGGTACTTGTTTCACCACTTGTGGCAGATTTAGGTGTATCAGAATCACTATCTGGCGCTGATATTGGAAATGACGAATCATGCTCCCTCACGTTTGTAGATTCTGTTGTACTACTTTGGACAGAAAGTATATCAGAATTTCGATCTCCGTGACGAAAATTCTCGGACGCACCTTTCTTCTCTGATTGCCTGCCACCAGTCTCAAGAGACATCTCCAAAGTATCAACTTGTTTGTGAAATTTATGTATACCGCACACTCGTCTCGACCTAGTCGTCTCAATCTGGTATATTTGAAATACCAGTTTAGAAATACCAGCTTAGTTTCTTCATTACAAAACGCGAGGCTATTTTAGTATGATATCTGTAAAAGGTGGTACTACCAGACTATCCACTAAGCATCTACAAAACGAGAGATGGCTGGACTCTTTTCACAAACCTGCCATATGTCGACGTTACCGCAACACAACCGTCTGCTTCTGTCATACTCCGTCACGCAAGTGGCATGACACTGGGGAGCAGCAGCATTTTAGCGAAATATACATTTTAGTAAAATATAAAAGTGCTGATATAGAGTCATAAATAGAACGGAAAGAAAACCAAGGGATTCTCGTAAATAAATAAATACAAATCGACCCAGCAGCTATTTTTTTCCGTACAATTATTTGATATCGGAATCCGACGACTCGCCGCAATCTCAATTCCCGATTTTATTTATACTTTGTTCTGATTTTGAAATACTCTTGTTGGCTATATAGTTCTGGGGATTTTTATTTATTTTCCACTTTATTTTTTCAGGGTTCATTTTTCTTAAACAATAAACATTTAAAAAAAAACATTTTTAAAATAGGCAAACTGCGCACAGCCGAAAACTTTTTTTTTTAAACAATATTATACTATTGTTTTAAAATAAATATATAGAACATATTTTATCTCTTTTTTTAAAACAAGTATCTCTCTCAAAGATTCTAAGCCTTTAGCTCCTAGTCCATTCATTTTTATTGGTCTATTAGTAAACAAATATTCAAGGGCCGATAATTGACTGTTCTATATTTATAGTATTTTCTTCTTTTATTTTTGATAAATTAAAAAAATACATTTTCGTACCAGAAGTCCAGAACTCTATTTAAATCTCTAAATATTGTATATTCTGTCCAAATTTCCTATTCCGGTAAATATTGGCACCGCAGGCGCGAAGTAGCGATATAT